ATTGGGTGGGTAAATGCAGTTCTTACAAACAGAAGTAATCGCATTTTTCCTTTTTAAACACAGTTCTCTCCCCTTATTAGTCAATCCCAGCAGTGCTCTGTTTGTATGGACTAGCTGCCTGTGTTTGCTTTCTCTGCCCTGCTTTCCCACATTACTCATTCGCCTTCTATTTAATGACAGATGAGGCTTTAAACTATAGCAACACTTACCACTTACAAAGGCATACATTAGAAGAGATTTCTTACTACAGTAGCAAAACATTTTGTAGCACCTTTGCTGATCATTTTCAGATAGATATACTCAAATATACAGATAAAAATACATGTATATATTTAGACATACACATAAATACATAACAACTTCAGGTGATAATCATGCTAAGAGCTGAAGTTATTACCACTTAGCCTGACTTAAACTTTTATACCAGGTAGAAATAAGTATCTTCCCTTTCATGTTCTGTGTCTTCCCACACCATTACAATGTTAAAATATTTAGCATTACTCCATTCAGTAAAGCTTCTTTGCTCATCCTTCTATTTAATGTAGTCATGGGCAGATATTTCAGTGCCCTCAGCTGTGGGGGTTATCAGCCCACCACTCTTGTCACTGGTGCCATGTGGATCAGTCCATGACTAATTTGCTTGATATGAAAATCAATTGTATTTGAGATAACACAAAAGACAACATATTCTCACGGCCTGTTCCTTGCCTTATCCACAGAAGAACAGCCATGCACGTAATTGCTTCAATAAAAGCAGTACAAATTTCTGCAGAGTCTACTCCCACAGTTTATGATCTTTATTAACCTTTACCTTGGATATTTACACAACATGCACCATAATTGAACCCTCTTGCTGCACGTAAAACTGTGGTGGTTTCACTGAGCTGTTACTTCAAGACAAGGGAATTGCTCTGCTCTGTGCCCAAAGCATTGTACAACCAAGATGGAATTGTGAGATGCAAAGCTGTGTTTCGTGTCAGGTACAATCAGGTGATGTGTGTATTTGTGAATGTGAAATGTGTGGACCCCGACAATGGGAGAGCTGTGAATTCTAATAATAACTGAGGAAAATAAAGCATGGAAAAAGGCCTTTGAACCTATCTTTTGTTTGCAATTAACCCTGGTTGATTTAGGGGCATTGGAATTAAGGTGTTAAAGATGTTGTTTTTTGCTTGCATTTAATCCATAAAAAGCTCTGCAATAATAACCTTTTGAAGTATAATTTTAGAATATTACTTGTATCCTTGAAACTATAGCTTTGGAATATATATAAAGGAAATATGCTTATCTCACACCTTATTGAAGCAGAGAAAAACAGCTTGAGAAAGGAAGATGAACATCACCTCAAGGGTTTATGGTTTCGACCAAAGGGAAGCTGGACATCACTGTTATGAGATTTAGAATCTCTGCAATTAAAAGGTGGACACACATCTGGGGAGCTGGACCCCACCAGATGGGATTCGTCTTTCTTCTTTCAGAAACTGGATCGTCACCATCTGGGGATACTCCTTTGAGATACATCTGAGAAATTAAAATCACAATAGTGTATGGAATTGTGATGTAATAATTTGGAATAAAAATTGCTGATGAGTAAAAGATTGGAAATAGAAGCTGCTGAAAAACAACTGATGAGTACCCCTGTAAATACCTGTAACCCTCAATTATCGGTGTGCAGTTGGAGGGAAAACTTCCCCCACTGTACTCAGCACTGTATTGCTCATACTTTACCACATTAAATAATAAATTGATTGCTGCTTGAATATTGGCCTAGTCAAGCTTCTTATTCATAACAGAATAACCTGCTGCTCTTTTAATTCACTCCCTGGCTTTGTTTCATTTTTCCCCCCCAGATAATTTCCCTCACTGCGCAAGTATTGTGCCCTGTTTTTACCTTTTCTCCCTCAGCTTCACATATTGCAATCCCGTTATTTAAACTGGAACTGATCCAGGAGCAGCACTGCAGCAAGGACAACACCATTGGGATGGAACAGCAAAACATACACAGAGGTGAAAATTATTTAAGTAATCAGTGGGGAAAGGTTAGCTGCTTTGCAAAACCAAGAGTTTTAACAGCAAAACACTGCCATATAATGAGACAGTCAAATATCTCAACACAGGCTCATTTACTTTTATATAAAGCATATAATTATATATCATGTATTTAGAAAAAGGCAGAGACGCGGAGCAGGCACCACCTCATCGCCTGAAACTAGAGTTTCCCCCCGCCCACAAAATGGCGGCCGCTCCCGCGCCTCCTGAGGGGAGATGGCGCCGCCCTGTCCCGCCCACAAAATGGCGGCGGGCAGGCTGTTCCGGCCGCGGAGAGGTGGCCGCTTCGTCTCCGTTCCTCGCTACACCCGGTCCCTGAGCCCACGCTGCCCGGGGGAACAGGCAGCCCGGTGCGGTGTTCCCTGATGGAACTGGGTCGGCTGGAGTACCTGCAGGCGCTCGTCACCGAGTTCCAGGTGACGGACAGCACAGGTAACAAACGCCGCTGCTCGCTGGCCCTCTCCGTGTCGAGCATTTCCTCACATCCCCAACCCTTTTCCTTTTCCCTTGCAGAGGCCAAGGAGCAGGTACTGGCGAACCTGGCCAACTTCGCCTACGATCCCAGCAACTACGAGTATCTGCGGCAGCTCCAGGTGCTGGACCTGTTCCTGGATATGCTGAGCGAGGACAACGAGACCCTGGTGGAGTTTGCCATGGGTAAGGGCAGGCCCGAGCACCCTCCGCTGTCACCGGGGCAGGGACACCGGCCCCGCGCTCCGTTTGGTCCCTAACCCGCCCCAAATGCTCCAAAAACAAACTCACACTGTGCTGATAAAGCCTCGTTTAGTGCAGAATGGGAGGGAAGTCAGAGGCAGGCGTGTCTTCCATGTCCTTACAGAGCTTAATGAAGACACTATCTGGAAAGGATTTTAGTTTTTTATCCTAAACACTACCTGATTAACCTTTTACTGAAATCTCTCCTGTAGAGATGCAGTCATTAATACATAGATTTTGCCAGGTACATTGTACAGGTCCATTCTGCTATTGACAGCTGGTCTTCTAGAATGCTTACTTGACAATTTTAATAAATCTTTTGAGGAACTGCCTTACCACGATTTTTCATGGTCTGAACATAAGCTAAGGGGCCAGATGCTGTGAGTGGTTCTGTGAGATGATACTAAATGGATTTGATTTTTAAGGTTTGTGGCTGCATCTCGAAGTTTCAAGTTTCAAACATTCTGTGCTTCTTGGCTACTAACTCTGTTAACTCCATTCTCTGGCTCTCTGTAACACCTGCAATAAACTGCTGGCTTGTGTCTTCCAGTAGGGATGAGTGGGCATTCCTGGAATCATTCTGTGGACGCAGTTATGTGCAGCAGTAACAGTGCCCTCTAATGACACACAGGAGGAGTGTGCTGGTGGAACATCGTCTGAAACAATCAAAAACACGTGGCCTAGGGAATCGTTAAGAATTTTCCATACATACAGAAGATCTGGATGTTAGAAACAGGATGAGCGGTGAATTTGCATCACCTCAGACACTTTCCTCTTGCCGTTCCAGGTGGTCTTTGCAACCTGTGCTTGGATAAAACAAACAAAGAATACATCCTGGAGGCCAACGGGGTGGAGCCCATCATCAACTGCCTGTCCAGCTCCAACGAGGAGACCGTGGTGTCGGCCGTGACCACGCTGATGTTCCTGACGACGCCGCGGTCGCGCACGCAGACCACGGCGCTGCCCGTGGTGGAGTGCATGCTGCGCTTCTCGCTCTCGGCCAACACGCGCCTCAGCAACCTGGCCTCCATCTTCCTGCAGGACTACTGCAGCCCTGCGCAGGTGGAGGAGGCCAGGAGCCTCAGCAGGCACACGGCAGTGGGCATTCCTCTGCCCAAAGACTGAGCAGGGCTGTGGAGAGGGGAGCCTCCTGCTGTTGTGACTTTCTGCTCAGCAGGTCAAGAGAAGCATTAAAGAGGGGAGTTGGTCCCACCAGTGCTGGGGTTAACAAACAGGAAGGAACAGCACTAACACGGCAGCTGGGCCAAGCACATAGCTAAGCCTGCAAATATTTAAAATAAAGCAGGTCATGGCTGCACTTTGGAAAGTGCTTTGCCAAGTGCAGCTCAGCACCCAGCTTGCACAAACAACCCTTCCCAGCAATGAGGGGTGTTCTGCTCGGGTTATTGGGTGGAATTATATCCACTCCAGTTCCTGGCTAATTGTGCTACACCTCTCCCCTTCAGTGCCCCTGACAAGTGACACTAAGTGTCAACTCAAGTCACTGAAATGTCACAGAAACGCATTCCTCCTGCAGAGAAAGGAGTTTCCCTGCCCTGGCAATTCACAATCTCTCCATCCCTGTGGCACTAGTTATGCCGTCCTCTAATCGTGGCACAGGTAGCCAGCTACGGAATCACTACATAGGGCAGGCTGTAGCTACTCTATAAATGAAGAAGTGGAAAGATTGTCTTTTATTACCACTGGTGAGAAAGGTGAAGTAATTAAAAAAAAAAGGAAGGGGGGTCGTGGCAGTCCAGCTCATGAGAACAGCTGTCTTGTAAAAGCTTCTGTTAATAAAACATTAACTTAAATGCTGTGTAATCATTTCTGTGTGGGAAGCACACAGGCCAAGAAATCGAAGCCAGCCTTGTCTCTTTTCATTATCAGCCATGAGGCAAGAGAAAACCCAATAACCAGGGTGGCTAAATAGATAAAATTTAAAAGGTTTGACTGTTGAGCCCAGTGCTTCCTGTCAGACACCCACACTGGGTCTGCTCACGTGTCAGAGCCTTCTTCCTCTTTTTCTCTGCCCTCTGCCCCCAGACAGCACAAACCAAACAGTAGTGAGGTTAAACACACACAAAAATACAACCACAGCCGCTTGTAGTTTATAGTTTCTCTTCTCCAACAGCAAACATCCAGAACACTACAGAGATTAAAAGTGCAGAGCAGTCCTCCAGAAAGCCAGAGCACTGTGTCTGACAGGAGCAGCTCATTTCTTCTCTGGCTGATCCCTGCGGTGACAGTGCCTCCTGGGCATGGCAGGGGATGGGCTGGTTGTTTCCTGGCAGTGGGAAGAGCACAGCATCCCCTCCCTGGACTACTGCCTGCGCTTGCTTTCCAGGATGCCCTTCCAGTCGTCGGCCCAGGAGCGCAGGCGCCGGCGCGGGGCCGGCAGCTGGAGGTGCCGGTTGTGGCAGCAGGTGAACAGGATGTGCTCCCAGCTCGGCTTTGGCTCCGCGCCTGTGGGAAGGGGGCAAAGCTGGAATCGGCTGGAATCAGCTCCCCAGCCAGCAGCCAGCCATGGAAATGCTGTTCAAACCTTGGATGGTGTCCTTGTCATCAAACAGCAGGTCAGCAGCCACCACGGTCTTGTCTCGGGTCAGAATAATCCGCTCCACAAACTCGGGTCCCAAGTGTTTCTCTACCCACTTATACTGCAGAGACAAGGAACAGGAGAAAATCCTGCTGTGCTCTCAGTTTGCACATCACTCCTGTCAGACCAGCCCTAATAGAGCAATTTCTTCCCCCTGTAAACCTTATCTGTGTCTAGGAATCCCCACATGGAGACTGGCTGCGGCCCAGGGTGCTGATTAAACCTGTTTGTGTGACAGCCTTCGCTCAGCACTGCCCTGGCTGTGCCCAGCTGGGGAGTTTGTGAGAAGCACTGGCTGCTTGCCCAGAGCACATGGGTTGTACCCATCTAAGTCATTCCAGTGATCAAAGTCCCCCCTTCCATTCTCATGCCACAGAGAAAAAGGATTTATTCCAACACTACAGCCTCCTCCTCCACACAGCACTGACCTCTTCTGGGACATCTCAGGCTCCAGACCTAGACTGAAGTAGGTTTTGTTGGTTGGTGGTTCTCCAGAGTAGAATCCCCTGGGAATACCCCATCCCTGTGGGTCACACTACAACAGTTCCTTTGTTGTCACCTGCTGACACAGCTGGTCCCAGCCCAGCTCCAAGAGCCCAGGGCTCACATGCTCCACAGCAATGCTGGCACCATGTGGCACTTGGAGATTCCCTGTCCTGAGTTACTGCTCTGTGTGTGTGTGAGAACCTATCCCTCACACAGGGACTGAGGGAAGCCTGGCAGCTGGAGCAGCTACTGTCTCCAGAAAGGAGTAGCTCCAGCTTGGGTAGTATGAAACAGCAAGGCCTTGCAAAAGCAGCATTAAACTCAATAAAAACCATTCTCTCCCACCTTTTCCACGACGCAGTGCTCGTAATTCCGGAGAGGGCTTGTGCAAATGAAGACCTCAGTACTGAAAAGAAACAGCTTTTGTTAGCAGGCTAGTGAAAGTGTGTGTTAGATTCTGGAAAAGGGCTGCAGGGTGCAAAGCGTCCTTACTCCTGCATGTGGAACATCTCCTGCACAGCTTCCAGGGCTCCAGGAATTGGATCCAAGCTTAGGAAGAAGCCAGGTGACTCATAGACACTGGCTACCTTGGCCTGCAGGAGACAGAGGACCATGAGCAGTGGCTGTGCCCTGTCACAGCACCCTCCAGTCACCCCCTGTCTAACACCCTGGTGCTTCCCCCCAGCACTGAATTATAAAATGTCTCACCTTTGGGTTCTGGGAGAGCTCCAGCTTGGGCACACAAGAAGGAGAAGTCACTTTCTGGTGGCTCATGAGGAGGCAGAGCTGCCCCTGGCCTGGCTTTGCTCCCACAACCAGCCCCAACCCCCTGCAGTCTCTGTGGGGGCTGAGGGAGGCAGAGCTCCCACCCCACCCCTTCCCAGCAGGTATTTTTCAGCTGGCTCTGGTGAAAACCAAAGGAACAAAGTGGAGGCTTCTCCTCCTCTGTCACATTTGGCTGAGATTAGCTGAGGGCTCAGGAATTCACTGAGGCTGGGTGGGCAGACGCAGGCACTGCCCATCAGCCTCCTTCTCCTTCAGAGCAAACAGGGTACAGAGGTGACCGTGCCAATGGCCAGGCCAGCACAGCCACACCAGGGGGGATCCCTTCAGCAAGAGGGAGGGATGAGGATGAGAGTGCTGGGAAAGCCCCATGTCTGTTGCTTTTTGATTTTCAACCACCCACTTCAAATATTGTTGAAGGAGCAGGCGGCCTTGGCTCCAGCCTGGATGGAGCTGTTCCCCTGAGGTCATGGGCTGGTGAAAATCTGCTCCAAAGAGTCTGAGACTGCAGCAGGAAGTTCACAGGTGATGCCTGTGCTTCCCCAAGAACTTTTGGCTCTGTGAGAGGTGATCTGTGCACCCCGTGAGCCCCATCCGGGCTGGGTGTGAGGGTGCTGTGGGACACTGCTCCCCTCCCAGGCCCAGCACTGGGCTGAGCTCTGTGATCAAAAGGGCTTTATCCCTTTTGTGTCTGCACCTGCTCTCGGTGTAAACCTGCCTTCCACGCAGGCAGGTGGGATGCCACACCAACCAGAGAGGAACTTAATGATAAACAAGAGGTGAAGGAGGTTAGCTTGAAAGGTAGAATCATTTCTAGGTGAGTGTAAATAGAAAAGAAATGAGATTTCTGGAGGAGTAATGTTATCCCAGGCTAATGTAGCCAAAAATGGGTCCAAAAGATATTAAATATGATAGAGTACAGCGGTATCTTTAATCTCTGAAAGGAAGAGCAGTACTTCCAGGGCAATTTCCAGGTAGGACTGTCCCTTTTCTTCTTAATTTGCTGGTAAGACATTTTCATGCCTTTTATTATTAGAAAATTTACTGGTTTGAATCCAGCTCTGGTTAGTTAATTTTAAGAATTGCTCCCTGGTGACTATTCAGTGGCTTGTGTTAAACAAGTGTTTCACAGCAGGTCACAGCTGAGGGGTTTTCCCATTCCTTATCCCACACCCATCATGGCAAAGGACCCACAGCAGCACCAGGGCTGAGGCCCCTTCCAGGCCTAAGTTTCACCTTCAGACAGAGAGGTTAATCTTCCAGTATCTCTTTACCCTGAGACACACAAATCTTAACTTCCTTGGGGTCACATAGTGAACTTCAGAGGTGGCAAAGCAGCATTGTTCCACAAGCATCAAAGTCATATATTCCCATGCCACCGAACAGTTTGGAAAACTTAATTCATGTTTAGTATTCTTCAAAGGCAGGTTGCAGCATTTGCTTAGAAGTATCCAGCTCTTTAGACTCCAGCTGAAGGTCTCCTTGCTCTACACCACCAGGGGAACATCAACAAAAACCCATTTCAATTAAGCAGCGGTGAGGAAGAGCGAGCATTAAGCCAGACTCGCAGATCCTGAAGCTCACTCAGTTATCATCACCTACAAATACTCATAAATCAACAGCCAGGAAGTTGGGAGCACTGCCTGATTTCACACGCAGATCAGAAGAGGTGAAGCAGCCTGTCTAGGTTCAGACATGGCAATCAGATCTGCCCGGATCTCTGTTTCCATGCAAAGCCTCCCTGATCCCAGCAACAATTCCCTGGAGCTCTTCCAAGGAGATTGAATTACAGACTTGGGGCTCATGTCTGAAAGCTCTTTTATCCTTCAGCAAGACACCAGAAACTGGCAAGTTTCCACCACATCACAAAAAAGTCTGGCTTTGTTGGAGAAAGAAATTTGATTTGATGACTCTTGGAACCAGAAGCCATTTCCTCTCATAAAAAAGTGACTAGAAAAAGAAAGTAAAACCATTTTCTTTCCTCATGTTCATGCCACCAATGCTTTTCTTCCATTAGTAAGATGACAATTTGGATGCAAAACTGGCGGGACTACATCTGTCCCTATGCTTTCCCATTTGCAGGACTTCAAAATCATTCTAGAAATTTTTAGATTTCCACTGGTGGAGATGTTGAATCCTTTTAGATTCCCCACTGGTAGGGATATTGAATCTTTTTCTTGAAACTGCCTGGGGCCAGGAAACATGGGGAGAAATCAAAATGGCCACACACACAGGAGGGGAGGTAGGCAAGTGCAGTGAAAAATTCTTCAACAAAATAAAATGGATCAGAAGTCCTTCTAAATAAAATGGATTTACAGTGTGGAATTAATGATCAACTTGCAATCAAAACAGAAACAAAAACAAAGTAATGGCTCAAGTTTCAAGGGGCAGCTGCTCAGCACCAGCTAAGCATGAACACCACTCAGGAAGAGGTGATGCATAAATCATCATCCCAGCACCTCCCTGCCAGGAGAATATCCCACACCTTGGAAGTTCATGGACAGACACAGCTGACACCTGCCACAAAGAGAGCCCCTGGTGTCCAGCTGATCCCCTGGTGTCCAGCTGCCCTCCTGGTGTCCAGCTGCCCCCCTGGTGTCCAGCTGATCCCCTGGTGTCCAGCTGCCCTCCTGGTGTCCAGCTGCCCCCCTGGTGTCCAGCTGATCCCCTGGTGTCCAGCTGATCCCCTCATGTCCAGCTGATCCCCTGGTGTCCAGCTGCCCCCCTGGTGTCCAGCTGATCCCCTCATGTCCAGCTGATCCCCCTGGTGTCCAGCTGCCCCTCTTGGTGTCCAGCTGATCCCCTGGTGTCCAGCTGCCCCCCTGCTGTCCAGCTGCCCCCCTCCTTTCAGCACTGACAAACTGCAGGCTCCATTTCCCTGCATGGCCCCACAACCTGCCCTGTGGGGGCTGCTGGCTCCTGCCAAAGCTTTCCCTGCAGCTGGAGCCAAGGAGAGACTTTCCACAGGGATTCTCCTGTCCCACAGACACTCTGTAGAGCCACAGCAGAACAAACAAAGACTCTGTTTTTAAACTAATGCATGGAATTTACATAAACCCCAAAGGAGCCCCTTTAAAACTATCATTTTATTGTCCTGCCAAAGATACTGAACCAGCCCAAAGCTCCAGGAGATTACTGAAGGAGACAGACACACAGCACAGCTCCATAAAACTTATTTCCTTAGGAAGTCAGGCTAGAACAGCAAGATAAGAGCTTTCTGCCACTGCTGGTGTGCTAGGATCCAAACCAGTTATCTGGTTATTTCATTGCCACACCTAAGGTCTGGGGAGGAACAGGATGAGCATGAACCAAATTAGGGCATGGGGATTCCAGAAATAGAACAAAGGGCAATTTTCTCATAGATCAGATTGTAGACCTTCCAAAAAAGAAAAAAATAAAAAGTCATGGCCCCTTGAATTACTTGCACCTTTTCTTTCTTTTTTTTTTTTTTGTTCATGGGATTCATTTAAGGAATACTCATTTAAACAAAAAATCATGTTTGTTTATGCTATGTAATAGCCTAATTTATGTCTACTGACTATATTTACAGGTTTCTGCTTCCAGGAGCTTTTGACCATCAATAGTCATTGATCTGAACTCCGGCAGTTTGGAGCATGTGGAAATGCTGACTGGATCCAGCACTCCTGCCCCTTACTCTGATGCAGGAGCCTTTACCTCACTATGGAACAGGAGTGAAATGAATGTGAATTGTCATTTCTTAGCAGTAAAAAACTCCCAGGCCCAGTACAGGATATTAAAATGAGCAATGAACTTCTCAGGGAAAGTGTTCAGCACAGCCCGGATCAGCAGTTTCCTTAGAGTCCTGTAAGGAACTCGACTGGCCTGTGGTGACCAGAAGGAAGGGTGAAGTCTGGATTCACAATATTTCTAATTTTGTGTTTCATGCAGCCTTAATTTCTGCTCTGATATCAGTGACTTCTTCCAGGACAGCCAGCCCTTTACAGAGGGATGTGTGTGTGGAAATTCTGCCATCAAACCATTCACTGAACCATCTTCTTTACCTACTCATGTTCTTGCTCTTGCTTTGCAGCAGAACAATAACTTAAAGCTCCCTGAGCGCTCTGCACATCCTCACATTGCTCCACAGCAGGACAAGAACTATGTATGTTCTATCTGAGTTAGTAGAGAACAAAATCCTGTATCCATATTCCCTCTGCATGCCCTGACAAGCTGAGTGCATAGCAGGTAAGAGATCAGGAACAGCAGGAGAAAGCTGGTGGAACACCCTCCATCCATGCAAACCGCTGCTATTTTTAATGCTTGCTAATGACTGAATGAGTAACAGAGAGATCTGCAAGACAAAATTACAAATACTGTAAATCCAGACTTCACCCTTCCTTCTGGTCACCACAGGACAGTCGAGGACTCTGTAAGGAAATGGAACAGATGCTGACCCAGGCTGTGCTGGACACTTTCCCTAGAAGTTTATTGCTCATTTTAAGATCATGTACTGAGCCCGCTGGTTTTTTACTGCTAAGAATGACAATTTCATTTCCCTCCTGTCCTACAGAAAAGTGCAGGCTCCTGCCACTGGCTGATAGACAGGAATATGAATCCAGTCAGCATTTCCACAAGCTCCAAACTGCTGGAGTTCAGATCAATGACTATTGATGGTCAAAAGTTCCTGGAACTAGGAACCTGTAAATACAGTGAGTAGGCACGAATTCGGTTATTAACTACATAAACAAACACGACTTATTGTTTGAATATTCCTTAAACGAATCCCATCTAGACAAAAAAACTGCAGGTAATTTAAGGGATTTTATAAAAACCTCTGTCCCAGGCTGAGCCTTGCAGAGCCCGGCGGGCAGCGAGGCTGCGCTGGCCCGCACTCACCGCCAGGTCCTCCCGCAGGCTGCGGTACTGCTCCCGCACCGAGAAGCCGCGGCGCTGCTCCAGCTCCACGCGCGGCTCCGCCGGGAAGCGGACGCGGAATTCCCGCAGCACGGCGCCCTCGAAGTCGGCCAGGACCCCGTCCATGTCCAGCAGCACCCGCAGCGGCGCGGCCGCGCTGCCCATGGGCACGCTGTCCATGCCGGGCATGCCGTCCGTGCCGCTCCCGCAGCGCCTCCGCTCCGGCACGGCGAGCGCTCATGCATATGCAGATCCGCCATATGAATATGCATGAAGGGGCGGGGCGGAGCGCCTCGTGGGCAGCCCCGCCTGGGAACAGGGCCGGGCTGCAGCGGGAATGGAGCAAAAGCCACAAAAGCCACCCCCGCCACCCCTCGGGACCCCGCCAGGTCCCGGCCCGAGGAGAAAGGAGCACAGAGCAGCCTCAGCAGCACGGAACCATCTTCTGATCCATCGAGGAGCATTAACAAGCTCCCCCGGGCACGAGGCTTGCAAAGGAAATACTAATTTATGGATTAAATTAATATGCTCTCTGTGCAGGGCACGGTGTACATCAGGGAACCCCCTCGGATGGAGGAGCAGTCACAGCAAATCCAGTTCGGTAGGTTCAGCCCCCCCAGGGCAAGGATCTGGAAAGCCAGGGTGCTTTCAGGCACCGGTTCTTCCTGCAGAAGGGTGGAAAAAGCACCATAAAATACAGCAGCCCCATAGAGATGCTCTGCTGTGGCTTATTGGGCAGCAGAGCCCTTCCAGAACAGCAGAGAATTTCATGGCTTGGTCTCAATTCCACCCTCTCCATCTTTAGGGTCTTCTGGTTTTTTTGGTTTTTTTTCTTTTTAATGAGGAAAATAAACTTTTCTCTGTTTCCTTGAGGAAAAATAGTGTTTTGGGTAAGCCATAATATATATCAAGCCATATTCCACGGTTCTCTGATCTAGAAGCCAAAAAAGAACAGAGATTTTCTCTTCAGGGGAAGTCAGCATATATGGTGGTGACCTCAAGCCAGGTGTAAGAACTCTCCTCTGTTAGAGCAGGGAAGGTTGGCTGAGACAAGGACAACTGAGAACAAAGCAAAACCAAACCCGTGAAATAAAACCCACACAGAAAACACTGCTTCAAAATTTCTATATTATTTACTTTTAAGCAACAATCCAGCTTTGTGAAATTACAACACACACTTTAAAGGATGAGATTTTCACCTCATGGTCAAGCACCAGCATGATCATGCACAGCATTGAGTCAGTTGTAAAAAAAAAATGCCCTGTAATTCTTATTTATATGATCCACTCCACCTTCACTGAATAAAGTCTGAATCAGCCCCTTCCCAGCACTAGGCCAGGTGGCTCTGGTCATCAGCCCTCTATTTGGCACAGACCCTGTGTCAGAGTAGTCCAGTATCAAGATTTCTTTTGTTTTTAAAGGCAGCATGGTGTACATTAACCATTTAATGATTTATATGGCACAGCAGGGCTCAAGGCATTTACCACATGCAGTCAATGAAGACTTTTAGATACCTAAATCCCACATGTGGAGGAAGGGACTGCTCTTGCTGATTGTTTGCTGGCCTGGTTAACCAGGATTCTAGACCCTTGTAAAGCTAAGGGGTTCTAAAAAAAAAACTCAGTACAAAAACCCTCTAAGCACACTTAGAACCAAGCTACTCTCCTTTGAATTACATTACAATACTTCATAAAGCTTTCCCTCAAGTCTATCACTAGAAAACACTCATGTCACTTCCAGTAGATCTGGGGGAAACACAGGACAGAAGTGGAAAAAAACCCTTTAATTTCAAAAAAAAAGATGGAGTACATAAAGTGCTTCTTTTTAATGAAAGAAATTTGAGATGTACAGTCAGGCTCAAGTTGTGCAGTTCACAAGCATGGGGGAAAGAAAACAGACACAAGTTCAAAACAGTCAGGAAGGGAAAGGTTTAACCGAGCACTAGGCTGGACTTGCCACCGGGTGGATTTCTCCTGGAGGGTGCAGGTGCTGGTGCTACTGGGCTAGGAACAGGTGCAGCAGGCAGGGACTTTTCTTCACTCTGACCTGGGGCAGCTTCTACATCAGCCTCAGTGTTTTCTAGAAGAAAAGAAGCTTTTAAAGTTTTGATGTGGATGATGAGAGCCAGATGTTTGGCTGGCTCAGACGGAAGCTCAGCTCCTGTCAGATTTCTCCAGGGGTACAGACACACTCCAGTGCTGTCACCCACTGGCAGGGCAGACTCAGCCCTCAGAAGTGTTTCTCAGATCAAATCTGAGGCCTTACAGCTCAGTCTCAGGCCCTCAGCAAGAGCCACATTCAGCCAGCTGCTATTAGGGGACACCAACAATTAATTTTTTAATGACAAGCAGCTTAAGGCATCCACATATAATCAGTCAGTGTTGTGACTGTGGCATTGTCACTCAGGTCTGAGCAGGTGCTGGGAGCCACAGCAGCACCAGCAAGAGCTCAAACTGCATCCCAAACTTCCTAACTGGAGGGAAAAGGATCTGACACACTTCTGAGGCTTCACACAGGACACACCAGGGAACAGCCATGCATGGGGAGGCTCTGATTGTACACTCCCTGGAGAGAACATGATAGTTTACTTTAAATCCTTCTGAGCAAACCACAGCTAAAGACAGGGCACAGAAGGAATTCTTCACAGGAAGCACTTTAGATACTGGAGCAAACAATGTACCAACTAACTGCTGACAATTGAGTACAGCACCTCACATTTTCACAGGTTAGCATGACCAGTTCTGAGCCAAAGGCGCAAATCAGCACCAAGCAGCCCCTGATATTGGGGATGAAGATGAACCTCACCTGTTTTCAACAGATCCCTTTGTTTCCTCTCATGATCACTAATTCTGGGTTGGGAGAATTCAAACAACTGCTGCACATTCAGCTTAAGCTTCATGATTTAGCAGATCTTGACCAATTCTCCTCTTCCAGCCTTCTCCTTCAAACTGAACAGGCACAACTATCCAATCTCCCCCCACAGAGCAGCCACTGCACCCCTTCATCTTCACCTTCCCTGTGACCTCCACTATAACCCCCTGCACTTCATGTGTCAAAGACTGTACACAAAATTCAAGATATGGGGGTATTACCATTGTTTACAGGAAAAAGTAAGTAATTTTCCACCCTCTCCCTGATGGCATTCAGTATTTTGCTGGCACCTCCAAACATCTCAAAGAATTTCAAGGGGAAGGACTCGAGGCAGATCCTGGGAGTGCCACAGCACAGAGCTGAACACAAGGCTGCCATGGTTTAGTTTTTGGGGGGTTGTCCCACTCACCCCCGAGATTCATTCCTTTACACTTGCTTACACAGGGATTATCCTGCCTTTATACCTGCCTGCCTCATTCAGCTGAGTCCTTCAGGCAGTGAGATTTTCCCACCATCAGCACAATCTGACTACTTGAAAAAGGTAATATCACCAAGAAAACTGGAGACTTCACTGCTCATTACCTTTTCCAGGTCATAGACAAAGGCACTGAATAAAACCACCTCAGCATCATCTCCCATAGCTCATTTTTGCAACCTGCAAGGTAATTACTAAGTCCTACCCTTTGCCTCCTATTCTTCCTACTCCCAGCAGCAGCTTTCCTCACATCCTGTGTCAATTCTGTTTTTTTCCAATGCAAAATGTTATCAGAAACACCAAAACCCAACTTTTGCCCACTGAACTCCCTCTGTATCCATGCTTATAATAATCTCAAAGAACTCCAGCATCTGAGCACAGTCCCCATGCACTCAGGAATAATCTCCACTAGAGATCCTCTGCTGTGTTCATTAACTGTTTGTTTCAGCTGCGCTGGGTTAACAGCTCATTTTAAGCCTGAAGCTCCTGCAGCTGCTGAGTCAGCAAGGGCTGAATGTCCCTGCCTGGGGACAGTCCCAGCACCGTGCAGGGTCCAGGCTCCACCTTCCTGTGGGTCAGGTACACTCAGGCACTGCCTGATTCTCCTTGGCTGCTCACATTCATTCAGCTCACACTGCCCCTGAATCACAAAGGAAACAAGAATTTCCAGCACAGGAGGCTTTGGGGGAAGTTTCTGTAGCTCCTTGTGTAGCTGATAAATGCTAGCATACAAGGTAAGTTTGCCAGCCTGATGAGTGAAGTGGTAAAACCAACAGGATCAGATAAAATATTAAAGCTCCTCCCTTCTCAGAAAGGGTCTAATTCCTGAAACAGCTCCCTGCTCAGTGCACTGCACTGGGAACTCTGATGCCCAGAAAGGAACTACAGCTCCCAAAGAGGAAACAAGAACCCTGCTGCAAAATAAATCAGTTTTTTAACCTAGACAAGCTTGATTAATAAATATACACACCTCACCTGACACATACTTGGGGTTTTATAATCAGTTACGTACAGAAAATAATTCCCATATTCAAAAGATTAACCATTTTTTAACTACAGAGACCTATTAAGAATCTGGCTGTGCTGTGATCTTGTCAGCAGACAGCTTTTGCTTGGAGGTGTTCATTGTTCCTTTCCCAACCCCACAGACAGTCCTACAAGGCCAGTACAAGTCTCAGGTGTGCCAGTGGGATGTTCAGCAGCCTAGGTCTGCCATCCCACAATAGGAAAATCCAGGGGAGGAGGGACAGCCAGACCAGAGAGACTGGGCTCCACTCAGCTACAATAGCAATCAATGCTAGGAATTAATTAAAAAATCCATTAGGATGTTCAGGTATCTGTCACAGACACCATTTCCAGGAGGCATTAATTTCTACTCCTTCCTAAGTACCATCAGTGAAAGTTTAACATTCAAACCTTTGCCTGCCATTTTCTTGGCCACCATCAAAAATTTAATTTTCAGTCATGGCCACAACAAGAAACAATCCCAGTTACTTTCCATAACAGTTGCTTTTTAACCACCTCCAAGCACAGCTTCCCCTGACCCTTGATAAGAACCTCCTTCACTGTCACTTGCCAGAAACAAACCAAAAGACAACTACAACACCTGTGAAAATGTGAACTTTTTAAAAAGTCAGGAATACCACTTTGCACTCTGGATTTCAGCCAGCCCTGTTTCTGCTTCCTGGCATCTCAGCCATTCTCACCTCCCTGCTGTTTGTGGGATCTCCTCTGCCCTGTGGGGAGCTGGTTTAAACAAACACCAGGAAAAGCAGCAGAGCCCTCAGAGCAGTTTTCTTCTATTAGCAAACCACATCCT